GGCTATACTGAAGTCTTCACAGGAATATAGAACTTCACCATCCGCCTCGTTTACGCCAGCAGTTCTCCCGGCCCTAAGGAAACTATCACGGCTGAGTCGTTTCTTAAATTTGCTTATATATTTCTGCCACTTGACATTTTCGAGCATAAAATCTTTTCAAACCATTCCAAAAGTTGTAAGCTAGATATGGGTATCCAACTAAGCGAAGCGTCGAACGTAGGCAAAAATGATTAAAAATCGGGACTCCAACCCAGTCGCCAAGCCCAACGAGCCGCGGTGTTGACCACTACACCATGCTACAGCGAGGTGAGCGATCAAAGTGTTAGTTACTTGAGCGAAACAAATAGCCAACTACACGTTAACGATGGGCAGTTTTGTTGTTCCCTCACCGCCCGCTAAGCAAGCAAGAAGCTTATCAACGCTGAAGCGTGTTAGGAACGCAGATGAAGGTTATTCTGCACATTCAGTTCTCCATCAGAAAGTCCTGCATATGGAAACTGAGATGAATAGCATGAAGCTATTAATCAGATCAGGGACATACCGGCCAAAGGATCAAGAAGAGACCAAACAGAACAAAAATAAGAAGGCTTCAGAAACAGATACGAGCATTGAACTTGCGCAAGAATCAAAATAATCCGGCAGGGCCGGGGCTCGGACCCGGTCTATCGGACGAACAGGCTGACATGCAACACACTCCACAAACGATTGGCGTTATGGGCACTCAAAGTTGCAGTTATTCAATCAGTTCTGAGGCCTCTATGCCGAAGGAGCAAGACAAGGCAAAACCGAAGAAAAATAGTGAATATGCGAAGCGCCACAAACAGGATGCTTCAGCAACAGATACGGGCATCGAACATGTAGGAGAATCAACTGGTAGCAAAAAGCCTTCGGGGCCGGGTCTCAATCCTGATCTATTGAACGAGCAGGCTGACATCCTTCTGGCTACGCTAACAAGCGACGTGGAAGGGGGTCCAAGTTGCACTTATGCAAGTAAAGTGAACAGCCAAGTACGCGTTACCGATAGGCAACATCCACCAGCAACACGCCAGCTATTGGAGACAACACGTGCAAGTGGGGGTTCCACCAAAGTGGAGTTTGAAACATGTCAGATTGTGCATAAGCCATCGATACACCATGACAG